TATTTACCACTTGGCGGTCCTAGAAACCTTTGCGCATAACACAAGGATCCGATTGCTAGCAACTCAAACATTTGACTCAAAGTCTGAGAGCAGATCAACTCCTCAAGGAATAGGATCAAGATGATTTTCTTCAGCATTATATTTCAGATTATTATCGTTGTTTTGTGATTCGGGTGCAAAGCATTTGCAGATGGGCATATAATTTAAACAGAAGCTACAAATGCGCAAACAAATAAACGGAACCTTACAGACGCATTTATCTGTGTGATATTTGTCTCATTAATGCTGTTGGCTAATTTTCAGTCTGTCTGACGATTTCGATATTTCCGATGGCTTCGTTTCTTATTTTTCATCGAGTCTTAACTCTTCTTCAGCAGAGTATGTATGTATGTTCGTCGCCTTGGGGCGTTGAGGTTGCGTGTTTTCCTAACTCGCTTGATTGTCTATTTCATTCACAAAGTTGGCAGTTACCTTCGTTGATCCCCTGGCATTTTAAAATTTCACTTTCTCGTTAAAATATTCTTTCAGAACTTTTGTTAAAGCACTCGCGAGATAGCAAATTGGATTAATTTTCGGTCAGTTATTTCTAGGAAACGAGCCTTAAAATGGCATGTCTGAACAATCATTCGTAAGTTTTTACTAGATTAAGCATGCAATTTATCATCTAAAAAAAGAATCTTTTGATGCCACAGTCTTAGATCGTTACATTTTGGGTGAAATCACCTGAGGTAAAGTTACGGCTGAAAAGTATAAATATTTTTTTCCTAGAATTGCAAAGCGTCACGTCTTTCTGTGAAGTGCGCAACAGGTCTTTGCATGATGACTGCAAAAACAATTCAGAGAAACATGAAGTACAGTCCTCCTAGAATAGCTTCCCAGATTTTTAGCAAACAAGTCCGCCTCAAAATCGCATGTTTGGACAGTCGTTTTACACGTTTTTACTTCGCTTCCGTTTATTCTAATCCACTATGAAGCTTATTATCTACAAACACAGTATTTTTACTGGCTTGCACTGTCTTGGATCTATAATTGGAAGATTTAATCAACTGAAATTGAAGTAGCTTTGGAAAGCTTAGAGCATCTTTTCCCAAGAATTCAAAAGCGAAGTGCGCGATAGCTTTATGCATGATGACTGCAATAATAATTCAACGAAAAGGAACATAAAGTACAGTTTTCCTTTAATAGCCTCCCAGGAAAAGTGCAGAATATATATCATGTCTGTCACATTAAAGTATCGAGGTTGCATGTCTTCTTATTAACCGTTCAGTTACGTATTTCGTTTACAGAGTTGGCAGATTTACTTTCGTTGATCCACCGACATTTCAAATATATCACCTTCTTCTTAACACATGTATTTTTAATATCAGTTTTATAATACCAGCTCAGTAAAGGCTACAAAGAAAGCGAGAAGACTGTCTTCTCTTGATTGAATGTCAATATTTCAGTCAGTCATTGATCAAGTTACAAACTACTCGGTCTGCACTGATCGGTGAGCTGTTAACAATTTCTCAAGGAAGTGGAGATAGATATCCACCCACTACTTTTACCAACACTGATGTGAATAATTATTTAGTATATACTACACAGAAACCAAATTTAGTTAATGTCAGTCGAAAGACCAAAAAATGATGGGAAATTAAACTCTTGACGCGGAATTTTGTCTCTTCGGCTACAGAGGTGGATCTGGCGCTAGACAGAGCCGGAATCCGTTGTCCTAACGGATTTGGACCCCTCTAGATTTGGTCCACGAGAACAAGATAACATATTGATGTTATTTTGTTCTCAACATACCGTCACAACTTAGGATTTCGTTAACCTGAGCAAAAACGTTAAACTCTGAAATAAAATTGAACTGTGAAAAATGATAGCGTTTGATTTTTGCAATATTATCGTAAAAAAGGTGTGAAATATCAAATGATGGATATGCTAACAATGAGTGTGAAACGGGTGAAAGCTTTAATTATTTTGACTTTAGTGGAATCCCGATTGCTCGGGCCCTCGATTTGTTCACAAACTGTATAATCGGTTAAGAATATATGAAAGTCATATATTTGAACTGCGGATAAAGACGTGAATGAAAGTGATCCTCACAGTAATGTGCACTACTTAGGCAGTAGTGAAAATAAGGCCTGAAAAAATTCGGGCCTGTACGGGATTTGAACCCATGACCTCTGCGATACCGGTGCAGCGCTCTACCAACTGAGCTAACAAGCCAACTGGGAGCTGGTCATGATGTTGGTTCTAAATAAACCCGTGAAGTGATGAAATAAACGGTTAAGAACATATCAAAGTCATATATTTGAACTGCGGATAAAGACGTGAATGAAAGTGATCCTCGCATCCTTTCTGTTTCGGGTTTAAAACATTCGCAAATGGGCATATAATTCAGTTAAACAGAGGCCATCAATGCGCAGGCTGGTAAACCGGACTTTACAGACAAATTGATGTTTGTTTCACTAATGTTGTTGGCCTATATTCAGTCTGTCCAATGATTTCGTTATTTGGGATGGCTTCGTTTCTAATTTTTCTATCGAGTCCTCTAGAACTCTTCTTTAGCAGTGTGTAAAATATTCGTCGCCCTGTAGCGTTGAGGGTGCATGTTTCCTATCTCGTTCGGTTGCTTAGCTCTTCCAACTTTCCGTATTTCATTCACAAGATTGGAAGACTTACTTTCGTTGATTCACTAGCACTTTAAAGTTTCACTTTCTTGTTAAAATATTCCTTCAGAGCTTTTGTTAAAGCAATCGCGAGATCGCAAATTGGAGTAATTTTTGGTCAGTTATTTCTAGGAAACGAATCTCAAAATCGCATCTCTAACACAAATGTCCGCGCGTTTCTACTTGATTAAGCCATTCATTTCAATTCAGCATACGCTTTATCATCTAAAAAGAAGTGTTTTAATGGCACTGTCTTAGATCTTTATATTTTGGGTGAAATTTACTGAAGTAATGGTACCTTTAATTTGAAAAGAGAGGAGTATCTTCAGTTTTCCAAGAATCCTTAAGCAAATATGTAAAATGTGTGTCATTCTTGAGTGTCAAGGTTGCATGCTTGCCTAACTCGCTCACTTGCGTATTTCGTGCACAAAGTTGTCTGAGTTACTTTTGCTGATCCACCGTCTTTTTAAAAATTCACTTTCTTGTAAACGTGTTTTATTGTACCTTGCTTTAAGCGCTCGAGGGATCGCTAATCAGAGTAATATTTCCCCCTTCTTTTCAGACAGTGATTTCTGGGAAACGAGCCTTTAACTCTTTGCCATCTTCTTTCAAAAGTGCGCGACGTACCCTTAAGATAAATGAGCATATGAGAGTTCAAGATAACGTTTATTCGGAAGTCAGTTACATTTCGGGATCTTGACAACCGCCGGACTGCTTAATATGGTGTCGCGTAGGGCAAGTTCGTTTATTGTGTTACTAGCGTCACAACATGAGGTGGTCAAAGGCTGCTTGGCGCTACGTACCCTTCAAATGATCAGTTGATCATTAACTTTAAAAGCGTCAGCCGCAGCATTAAAAAGAAACGATACAGAAAGGCACGATTCGTGAAATTATAAACCAGCGTAAGGCGTGATTTGCCTCATCAATAACCCTGTAATAAACGTAAATCGTGAATTTTGTCTTCCATTTTCTAGAACTGAAGATTTCAATGAAACTTTGGGCGCAAGTACAGAGATTTGAATATTTCTTCACTACATACATGACCCTCTGGCCTGAGTGACGCATTAATTTTTTGTGTCCACTGCTTTAGAAAGTAGTGGACACTATAGTCATCCAAAAAGCCGAGCGCGTAGGTAAGCAAGAGAATCGATCTGATCGGTTAGCAATTGAAAATAAACCGCTATTTTTGTTTGCACTGGGCGATATTTCGACCAATATTCGTTCCCGTTGGGTTGGCATATAATTCGCTGAGGAATGCCAGGAATGGCATCCTTGCAGCCGACTTTAATCAAACAATACAGCCACTATGAAAATTTCTTTTAAACGGAAACTGTCGAATAAAAGTTCTTTTTCTATGGATCTGAGGCCTTTCAAAGTGGTCGAAATAGCCGAACCTACAAGAATAAAGGAATTACCTTTGATTTGCTTATTATGATTAGCTGATATAAGCAGGGTTTCTGTTTGTGCCCTAACTCATTCACCTCTTTACTGTTTCTTGTTTCACTCCTCCCTCTCCCCCAACCCTTTTCCGCCATGCAAATCTTCAAACATCTGGACCACTTTTCATTTACTTAGACCCATACAAAAGTTTATATTCAATTGAAGATTATAATTCCACTGGGAATTATTTGTGAGGTTTTGAAATCTTTAATACCATATTCAAAAGAACCACTGAATGGAGTTGACATGGGGGTTATACTTTCTCTGACCAACTCAAATATTACACTTAACTTGCTGCTAGCGAACGCACCGGAGAATTCGAGAAAGTTATGTAAACCCGAAACGCAGTCGAGGGTTTACGTAACTTTGTTAAATTTCTTCCAGCTTCCCAACTTCAACGAGCTGAGTCTATGAAAACACGGAAAATGCCTCTAATGTTCAAATATCATACATTTCGTCCTATTTCTAATAAACAATATTTAACAAATAGATTCCAAGTCATTACAGATGACGTCAAACTGTGGTAAGAACAAAAAAGTGGCACTCGAGGCGCAGCCGAGTATGTCACTGATGTTGTTACCACATTTTGACGTCCTCTGTGTTCTATCACTGAACAGACGCACGGCAACTTGGAATCTATTTGTTTTATATAATAAAGAATTAAAATATACGGGAAAAAAGTTTTAATGATGACGTCATCTATACGTCTGTCCTCCACTACATCATGAGTGAGAACCAATCAGAATGCCTGCATAACTGAGCTTATTACATAAGACGGCATAGCTGTTTGGGCTTCGCTGCTTGCTGATTAACATCACTCTGGTCAATAAGTAGTCGAATGTTTATGCCTTTCAAATTATATTTTGTTTTGTTTTGTTTTGTTTTGTTTTGTTTTTTATACAGTTTTCCTCGTCGGAAGTGATGCCACCCTTCTTGACGGGAGCGTGGGCTCCTGTAGTTTCCTGAAGTACTTCTGCAGTGCTCGTAATTGCCATGCTGCTTTTTTGAAAGCATTTCAGAAAGACCCAAAGACTGATTGTAGGTAGGTGGATTTAAAGAGTGGAAGTTCTTAAAGATGTTTGTATATGGAATACCAAACAGCTGTTGCAACAAATCTGTTGCACTTGGAGAGGCATTCCTTTTTTCAGGTCTTATTCATTTCTGTAGGTTGTTATTTCCATTCGCTTTACTCTTCTCTATCCTCCGTCATCCTGGTCTCTTTTGGGTTGGTTTTTGTCTTTTTTTTTAAGTTTTTCTTTTACACCTGGCTGCTTTTCTCTCTTTCTTTCGTTCTTTTTTTTCCTTTGAATTTACGACAGTTTTCCACGCTGCAAATAATACGTCATAGCTTCGCTGTTCGACTCTTGACTATGATAGTTTTTGTCTTTTCCCTACAGCGTGGTGTTCAGCAAAATGAAAGATTGCATGGTCTACCTCACGAAGGTTTGTTGGAGAGACCAGCCGGCGGTCGCAAGCCAAGCCAAAACGATCGTTGACGCTACCTATAAGAAAGAAGAACATTGTGGGCAAACTTCTTTCGAACTCCCCACTTTGCCACCAGGGAATGACTTTTGTTCCGCATCATCTGACAATGATATAAGCAATTGCGTTCAATCCTTTGAACAAAAATTTAGGAAGGACAAATCAGATTCCGCTCTTTGCTCGTAAGTTAAATGAACATGCCTTTTATATCTTTGATTGGAAGTGGAGTAAAGTTGGAGGGGGGGGGGGAATAGGGTAAGATATAACCCAGTGATAGTTTTTGTGGTGTTGCTATTCCTGCTTGAAACAGGAGGGATTACTGTTGAACCCAACTTCACTCCAACTAAGCAAAAGACAGAATACCTTTCAAACCGGATAACACACACAGCTTTTTACACAAATAAAATGTCGCATCACAACTTTATCTTTAATATAATTCCGTTCTTCCCTTCATCAATCCCTTGATTTTTACTATTGGATTTTTATAAGTATTACTGCTCATGGTCTGAGTCCGTCATGGTAAACACTCCTTACCTCCCCCCCCCCCCCCCTTCGGGTTTTGTTGTAATTCTCTGACAGTTCACCTGTATTCTTTTGTATTACTGAGTGGGTGGGACAAGAGTGAGAATTTAGTATATTCCTCAGTGACTCCCAAGGGCCGAACACTTTGAAGAAGCCAGCGCACTTATCAGTGTGCCACCACTTTACTCTTTAGAAAGCATTTTACTTTTTCTGAGCAATCGTTGTGAATTTGCATTTTTCAGAGAATATGCTAAAGCAAAGAAGTGTTCAAGGGACGTGATCGATTCCGACTGCAACTACCCATCAGAGACCAAGGAACTTTTGGACTTGCTTTATGATGCCTACAATCCTTTCTGCGCGGACAATCGTGACCCAGGGGCGACCAAAAATAGTCCGTGCTCTGGCGTGGTGATTGAGAAAGATGCTAATGCAGCCGCTGGAACAAAGCCCAGCGTATTCCAGGCGCTGATGTTTGCTTTCTTTCTGTTTCTGTTCCTCTTTAAAGCTTAAAAGATCTAAGTATCTTGGTTATCTAGATTTACAGAAGAGTTTCTAGTCTTATGGGTTTAGCTTAAAAACAACAACAACAACAAGGTTTTGTGACATGATCAAAGTAGTGCAGTTCACGTTAAAATCTAAATTAGAAACAGTTGTTAAAGTTGTGTTTCAGTAAAATGTTTCTTTCATTTTTTGTTATTTTTCAATTCTTTTGAAAGAGTAAATCAACATTGATGGAAGGGTTTCTTGATAACTTGTAAGCCTTGTCTCTGAACACGCGAGGCTGCGCTATCCCCACCTTTCGCTCATAAGGAGAGCACGGTTAGATCATGTCGAGTCAACTGAAATTTATCACTTTCATCGTAAAAATCCTTATTGTGGGTTTTAGCAAACACATTGTTATTGAAGACTTCGTCACCAAATTTGGGCATGGTTCATTTGAGAGCAAGCTGGTGAAATTACTGAATGGGAAAACTGAAAAGACGTTTTCCGTTTTCCCTTTTTCATTTTCCGTTTTCCGTTTTTCGTTTTCCGTTTTCTTATTTGCCTCGTCATTTACTCTTATTTTGAATACATATTTTGAAAGAAATGTAAATTTTTTTGCTCATTAGCGAAAAATGAATAATCGTCTTACATGTACGAGACAAACATTTTCATGTTTCAATAAGACGACGATTTTATAAAATGTCTACATTCATGCATTTCATTCGCTAGAAAACCAACGCAACGGTTTTTGGAATCGGTCGACTTTTCTAAGAAAAATTTCTTTCTAGACAAAACTTCACTGCCTGATGAGTGAATTCTACGTTAAATTTCACGCAAAAAACCGATGTCGAGAGAAATTTAACGTGGAATTCACTCGTCAGGCAGTGAATTTTTCTTGAATCGCATAGCTAAAGCCACCATATCATTAGGCGAAACCAAACGTTTTGCATTTTTGTGAGCTGCGCCAGCGTGCAAACAATGGAAACCCTTTGAAAGTCAGGTGTCAAGAACCAGCGAATGGGAAACAAGATTTTTTTAAAATGAAAACCACTTTTATATAAAAATCTCGAACCTCGAGGAGAAAGCAGTGTCTCACATTTTACAATATGCAGCCAAAAAAGCTGAAAGTATAAAGTACAGAGTTATTGAAGACAAAGCCTTTATAGAAAAATTCTTTCATTCGATGCTACTATACAACTTAGCAAAATATGGCGCCGACAATCAATAACTGAAATTTTCAACCTAAAGGAAAATTACAAGCGTTCTGGTATTTAAACAAGATCTGCAAAAAACCGTTAAGTGCTTTATGTTTATAAATATATGTTATTCGCCAGCCGGGAGGTCCCTATCGGGAAAAACTGTGCCCGAGGTCTTGAGTGCCGCCCGAGGCCGTAGGCCAAGGACGGTCCTCAAGACAGATGGTACAGTTTTTCCCAATACTGACCGACCTAGGCTGGTGAATAACATTTTTGTTTTTTTTTTCAAACTTTAACAAATGTGTAAATCTGGTCTTTTTTCCACAAAAACTAAATTCAAACCTCGCTAAGAACCAATCAAATTGCAGGATTCGTTACCGTGCCCTCTGAGAACAAAATGAACAATTGTTTTCAAAATATGATGAATAAGACTGGAATTTCTCAGTAAACTTTTACAAAAAGTAGCTCAAAATAGATTTTTCGAAGTTGAAGTTATCTACTGCCGGTAGACATGGACACTCCAGAAAGTACCTTCGTAAACCATTGCGGTAAGTTTGTATTGTTCCTGGTTCATATACTTTACCTTTGTTTTCTTTTGTCGTTTGCATTATTTCTATAATAAAAGCAAGAAGCTGCAGTGCCTTATAATTGCATCCATATAAATTTGTTTGCCGTGGTTTTCCTTGAACCAAGACTACAAACGGCTTACGGATATGTACTTGCACTTTTTTGAGTGTTTTTTCCTGTAACTATATTGTCCTTAAAAGAGAACAGGTTCGTCATCTGTACAGGTTACTGTGATTTGGCACTCTTGTTGCCATGGTAACAACGGCTGCTTGTTCGAGGCCTGAAGCCTCATTTTCATACAAAAACGTCGCAAAAAAAGAGTGAAATGTTTATTTCTCTATCTCAAGCTAAATACAACATTACAAATTGGCACTTGTACCACATATAGTGACATCATTTGTCTTCACTTTAATTTATTCAATTTTCCCTGGGAGTGAAAGTGAACACACCAATAGATTATTCATCTCGGTACAGTTTCGGTCATTTTTGTTGTCGGGTAAAACAGGGAAAACGTTTATCTGAATTTCTCCAAAAGTACACCAATACTGGAACTGAAACTATCCACCTAGCTGGTTATAGTATTCTAGTTTTTAAATATATAAAAATCTTTGCGGGCCTGCCTCTACTTTTTATAGGGGCAATTCGCGAAAATAGCTCAAAATCAGATATTGTATAATTTGGCGATGTTTACATCTAATGTTCTCAACAACAAATGTTTCAGACAAATTAAACGAGCGAGGCTTTGGAAGAATGTTATCTTATGAGTAATATCCCGAAGAGAAATCTCGCCTCTGGTTGTCATCTTTTTAAAAAAAATTGATCAAACTTCATGGAGGACTACTCGACGTAACTACAAACATATACCTCAAATTGTGTGCATGTTGTTCAGATTCCGAGTGCTGCACCTTCTTTCATGGGGATTTGAGCAACCCGAAGTCCTCTGAAGATACACTGATATACTTGTATGTCATTTGAAACATGTTGAAGTCGGATGATCTACACGAAAGTATCCTCACACCGGTCATTTGTCATAAACATGTACGTTATCACGATGGCGTGACGCTGTATTTCTCCATGAAGTTTCCATCGGTCGCTCCAAAGAAGACAGGAAATGGATATTTTTCTTATATGTCAGCAGATTTCCGCTTTCACCGAAGTAAAAACAACCAAAAAAAAACAAACAAACAAAAGAGGAAAACCTTAATTGAACGCTCGTAAACACTGAGAATCTGAGAGTATAAATCGTAGCTTGTCAGCGGCAGTACTACATGTAAAACCCAGTTGGAAGAATAGCAATTTGAACGACATAGGCATCTCCTCACAAAGAACAGATTCGGGCAGTTATAATTTCCTTGTACAGGAATTAAGATATTCCAAATCATCTGAAAACAGTCAGAAAACTGTTAGAAAATTTGCATACGATATGACGAGGAGGGACTTATCACCGCCGCAGTCAATCAATGCTTCCTTCCATGTCTTGATAAAGGAAAAATCATAACAAAGTTCGAAATAAAAGATTTAATGAAATCATAATGTCATAATTCCACCTTTCAAACAACTTATTATCCACATGCAAATCGCAACTTGTCACTTGAACGAAACTCCCCACGGTTAATATGTAATCCGGATTGCTTCATGTCCTTCAGAAAAAGGACAGCGATTTCATCACCATTATTTTCCATACTTTTCTCCCGGATATCTCTTACAAGCTTGAAAAAAGATGAATATAACGCAATCTCCCAGTGATTTACTCGAGAGGAAGTCAAAGGTCTCTTTAATTTTCCCCTGAGGTGGCCGGCTCACCAGGAAGAAAAAGGAGTCATCGTTCGGTTCAATATTGTTAGTCTGTGGAGATTATCAAACCAATAACATGAGACGATTGTGCCCTTTGGTTCATCAGTGACAGCATTAATTATTTCAAATCTGTATTTCTCGGTCTAAGTGACACCAAAAATAGTTCCTTTGTAATTTTGTAAGCACTTTCTAGAGCATTTTATTGTCAAGGGAAATAAATCTCAGGGCTCAAAGCCAATATAACGTTCGAGCACGTGAAAGACTCCCTGAAAAAAGCTGAATTTTGTTAATTGATTGTGATGAAATCCCTGTTCCGTTTTCTGCACTGCAGGGATACTGAGTAGTTCAAAATCTCCACTTTGTGATGATTTTCGTGTTGTACAAATTGCCATTGTTGTGACTGGGTTTTACATGTAATACTGCCGCTGACAAGCTGCGATTTCTGCTCTCAGACTCTCAGTGTTTACGAGTGTTCAATTGAGGTTTTCTTAATTTTTTTTGGCTGTTTTTTACTTACAATGCGCGGAAATCTGCTGATATATCCAAAAATATCCATTACTCGTCTTCTTTGGAGCGAGCGATTGAGACTTCATGGAGAAATACAGCGTCATGCCATCGTTAAAACGTACATGTTTATGACAAATGACTTGTGTGAGGATAGTTTCGTATAGATCAGCCGGCTTCAACATGTTTCAAATGACATACAAGTATAACAGTTTATCTTCAGAGGACTTCGGATCGCTGAAATTCCCATGAAAGAAGGTGCAGCACTCGGAATCTGGATGATATGCCCACGTACAACCCTTTTAAATATTTATCAATCATTGATCTTGCCTCATCTGACATATGGTTTGGCGGCTTGGGGTCAAGCTGCCAAAACCCATTTAAAAAAAAAATCCTCGTGCTTCAAAAACGAGCCCTTCGTTTAATGTACTTTTCTGAACCTAGAGCCCATGCTGTGCCTTTATTTATTTCCTCGAAAATTATACCCTTACAAATGTTATATGCTGAAAAAGTATCTTCTATAATGTTTGACGTTTCCTGCATGAATGCTCCGTCTAACATCTGTGATTTCTTCACTAAGGCTAATTCAAAGCACAGGCATGAGACCAGGTTTTCTTCGACTGGAAATTATTATGTTCAAACTTCAAGACTGAATCTAAATCAAGATTCTTTTTCCAGGTTTGGAGCTAAACTTTGGAACGCAATTCCTAACGAATTTCGTCAACTCTCCAAAGGAGCTTTTAAGAAAAATTTTCATGACTTTTTGCTCTCGATAATGGAAGCAGAGGACGATTATGTTGAAGTGCCCATTCTCCTTCAAAAAATGGCAAATTCTGCATCCTCGACTTAATGTATATAATTGATAGTTCTGTTAGTAGTAAATTTGATTGTAATATCATTCTGTAAGACTATATATTTTGTAACTTTTCAGTAGTTCTTATTTATCCAGATAGTTTATTTAGTTAC